AAAGTAAGTAATGTTATGAATAAGTAAGTAAGTAATGTAAATGATGTTAAAGTAAATAAAAGTAAGGTAATGTTGGAGTAAGTAAAATAATAAAGAAGTAAGTAAAGTAAGTAATGTCTATCAAATGATGAATAATCGATTTTATTTAAATTCCGGAGAAAAAATCGGCTATTTTTTTTTTAAAAAGTTTTTATTCAATTGCAAATAAAGAAATTGTCACAACTTAGGAAACAAAAAAAAAAAATAAATAAATAAATAAATAAAAAAGTTTATAAACCTTCCGTTGAGCACGTCGTCTTCGAAAATCGCCTTTTTTGAAATCATCCAAATTTGCTGGATGAATTGCCCAATAATGTACCCTTTAAAAAAAAAAAAATAAATAAAAAAAAACAAAAAATTTAATTTGCAAAAATTATTATATAAAATTAAATACAATTTAATCATTCTTATCATCTGATAAGAATTCTTATCACCTGATAGAAATTATCTTTACTTATCTAAAATTAGATAAAAATCAAATTTTATAGTTATATAATATTGTGATAAAAGTGTAATAATAAGTGGAATTTATTGATTATTTTATACCTTTCCGTTTGTTGATCGGCCAGCTTTAATGAAGCAATCATTTAAGCTTAAATTATGCCTAATTGAATTACGCCATCCAACAGCACGTGTTCGAAAATATGGATAATTATCGATAATCCATTGATAAACCTCAGAAAGTACCATTTTTTGCTCCCGAGAACTTAGAATTGCCATTGCAATAAGGCCAATATAAGATGGTTGAGATTTTGTTTGACGATTATCATAATGATGATGTTGCTGTTGTTGTCGTTGTGAGCAATAATGATGATTATGATGATAATGATGATAATGATGATTATTATTGTTATTATTATTATGATTATGATTGTTATAAAATGATTTTTTGCATTGTTCGTCTGCTTTTAGTGATAATATTGCGCTCGAATATGGCATCAAATCACCGAAGCCAAATAAATCCATTCGTTGTGATTTTATTGAATTCTTTCGAATATTTGTTATTTCTTGATCCGTTCTATAATAAATGCAAATTAATATTCACTATAATAGATCAACATTGCAGATCAATATTATGTCAGATCAATAATATATGTAGATCAATATTATATTCATTATAACAGATCAATATTGCAGATCAATATTATATTAGATCAATGATATATGTAGATCAATATTATATTCACCCCAATAGATCAATATCATATTAGATCAATAATATATGTAGATCAATATTACATTCACTATAATAGATCAATATTATATTAGATCAATAGTATATGTAGATCAGTAATCACTATAATAGATCAATATTAGATCAATAATATATGTAGATCAATAATCACTATAATAGATCAATACTAGATCAATAATATATGTAGATCAAAAATCACTATAATAGATCAACATTAGATCAATAATATATGTAGATCAATATTATATTGGATCAATAATATATGTAGATCAATATTATATTCACCACAATAGATCAATATTACATTAGATCAATAATATATGTAGGTCAATATTATATTCGCCACAATAGATCAATATTTTATTAGATCAACAATATATGTAGATCAATATTATATTCATTGTCGTTGATCAGCATTGTAAATCAATGTTATATTAGATTAATAATATATGTAAATCAATATTATATTCACTACAGTAGATCAATATTGCGGACCAATATCTACATGTTGATCCAGATCAATAATATATGTAGATCAATGTTATATTTGCTATAACAGATCAATATTATATTAGATCAATAATATATCTATAGATCAATATTATACTCGCTATAATCCTTTTTTTAGACAATAATAATTAGGCGCAATTGCTAAAACAAACGAATAATATTACAGTAGCATTTTAAAATTACAAATGGTTTCTTTTTTTTTAACTCGTAAGTTTTGAACGATTAAAATTCAATTTAATTATATGTTTTAAATTTAGAAGAAAAATTTTAAATATTTGTTTTCCAAAATAATTAATTGAGAAAAATTGCAAATGATTGAACTCATTACTAACAAGAATGAAAAAGTAAAGAATGATAAAGGAAAATTTGTCAGTACATTTTTAAACAAATATCCGAATGTGTCGCATGCTTACTACCGATCATGATGATGATGATGATGATGATTATGATGATGATGATGATGATGATTATGATGATGATGATAATGATGAGAATGATATTGATGATGAGGATGAGGAAGACGACAATGATGGTGATGATGATGATGATGAGGATAATGATAAGGATGGTAATGAAAGAATACAAAGTTCTAGGGCGTGGCTATCAATTGTGTGACACGATACACAATATGACGCAATTTTTTTTTTATTTGTCGCAACTTTTAAACTGGAAAAAATTTCCAAAATACTGATAAAAAATGATAAGAGTTCCTGATTAGTTTTTAAAAATGATATTTGTTCAAATATTTTCTCAATAAAATATTTATAAAATTGATGGATGTTTATTTTATCAAAACAAAATTTTGAAAGGACTATATTCATTGGTAGTGATAAAGGATGTTTAATAATTTATGTTTAAATCAAGCAAACCTAAAAATTTGTTTGAATTATTGTTTTTGATTATATTAGTAAATCAGTTTTTCTTATTTTATTTTTTCTCACCAATAATACAATTGAACAATAATCTCGACTTATGATATTAAAAAGTTTAATTGATAACTTGTTGGTTCATTGCATTAATTATATTCCTAATCTTACATGAAATTTTATAAATGTACTGGAAAAAAATTCGAATACACGGAATGGAGTACTTAAATTGAAATCAAAAAAACAACAGCTAAATACTTTTATGGAATTTTTGGTGAATAACAAATTCAGCATAACATACAACAAGTATCAAAGTCTGAAAAAATTGAAATTTTTTAAATTGAAAATTATTTGAAATGCCGGTTTTGTAGAGTTTATCAATCATTTAATTTAGTTTAGAAACATCTGAAATCCAATAATTATTCATTTACGATGACATCTTAATCATTTTTTGCAAACGAAAAAATTCAACATTCCATACCAGATATTACTTCCATATAATAATTAATAATAACAGCAACAGTAATAATAATGAACAAAAACAATAAAAACGACAATAATAGTAGTAATAATTAAAAATAATAATAATGATAATAATAATAATAATAATTAATAATAATAATAATAATAATAATAATAATAATAATAATAATAATAAT